GAAAATCTTGCTTCGAGAAACAGACTCCTTTCTGTGGATTATTACTTGTTTCCTTATTAAATGCATGCCTTGAATACCGCTTGAATGAAGTTTCATGCGCCTATTTACATTTTCTTTCAGTTTTGAGGACCTCTTGCGTCAAGCATTTTTTTTCGGCCAAAAGTAGCCAAACAAAAACTGAACGTGCAACCATTCTTTTTTTCCTTTTTCCCCTTCTCCTCCTTTCTTCGTCCTTCCTCTTTCGTTTTCTTCTTTCCTTTTCCTTCACTAGTAGATTTTCGAGTTTATTGAGCGCAAAAATCCCGCCTTTTGGCCCTTTTTCACCCAAATGGCTGTAAATTTCGCTAGGTTCGTTTTCAAAAATTCGGCTTGATAAAAAAGTTTATAAATTGCCTTAGGCCAATTTTTAGTTGTTTTCTGCTTCAACAACTTAGTCTTTTTTTTACCCCTTTCGACCACGGCGATATTATATGGCGAGACCTTCAGGGCGGAAAAACGTTCTGCGCAAGCTTCTGCGCATCCCTTATCGCAGGCTCAAGGCGGGCTTTTCTGTGTGTTTACTATGTTTGTTTGTTTGTTGCTGGGGTTCTGAGTGAAATGCACGAGGTGCCAAAGTTTGCTCCTTGTAAAGCATTTTTATTTGACATGTTTGCTTTTTTTCGTCGCTTGAAAATTACTTTGGATTCAGAAAAACCAATGTTAAAGGAAAAATGGATCATTCCGTCAGTCTGAGGTGGAATAAAAGGTTGTGAACATTTTTAAAGAGGCGAGTATTTTTTCTGATTGTGCATCCGATTAATTTATGAGTTGATTTCGCCGGGCTGAATTAAAACCCGCTTGTATTCTGTTATTAGTAGTTACGTTTACTTTTTTACACGCCCAGATTTATTACCTTTGCAGAACCAGCTTTATCTTTGTCGTCAGTCAAAGAAACATATTGCCGTTATAACGCATCAGAGTGAACAAACTTGTGCGCTTATTAAACTTTCTCGGAAATAGAAGGCCAGCAAGCTTACTCAGGATCATTTTTCTGATGCTCAAGTAATAGTAGTCAGAGTTCTTTTTCATTTTTCATTACATAGTTTTGTTTTCCAGTGCACTGTGAAAGTTTCTGTTCTTTATAAGAATAACTTTCTGTAAGCAAATTGTCCTTTTCACTCGCTGCGAAGTAGAGAACGACAACTGCCGGCAGTGACTTCAAAACAATCGACTCTTTTCCTGTACGTAAAAAACGGCTGCAGTTGGATTTGACTGAGGCGAGCAAAACAAGCCCTTATGTGCAATTTTCTGTATTTTCTAATGATCGGCTGAGTTTGATTTGCTTCACGAAGACCCTTGCACGGACCAGTTAAGCTTAAAATAGCTAAATGGTGAATCATGGCTTGGCTGCCAAGTTGAAACTGATCTTTTGCTTTTAAGATCTTTAGGTAAGTTGTTTTCGTACAGAAAATTCATTTCTTCATTGTCAGCAAGAAGTTTTTGAAATAATGTAACTTTAACTTTGTTTGAAGGATATCCTACTTACGCGTAGGTTTTTGACAGATGTTATGCGTGTTCAACTTGACAACACAAAGCAAAATTTATATATCTGCGCGAAATGAGCAAGTTTAAAAAACTATAGCTGCTTTGAAACCGATTTTTGGGAAGATTTTACTAGATAAAGATTGAACTTTTTTCTGCCCCCATAAAGGCAACGCAATAACTTCTACATTGAGGATTTTGTTTATATTTTAGTGATCTGCGAAACTACGAGTGTCCGATCGAGCGAGGGGTTTAAAATATCAGCTCGAGTGCGACAAAGTTCAGTGACTTCAAACACATTGTGGGCAAGCGTTAATTTTTTTGGGCAAATCACTGTCCAAAGATATGTTGTCTTTGTGTCCACAGTGGAGCTCCGAACCTTATATATCCAGGAACTTCCTTCTATGAGCACATTTTGTGAATGCATCTCGAAAAAAATCGGACCTACGCACGCACATTTTCGGTACAACGCAAGGAAATCAATGTCGTTAAAGTCCGTTTTACTATGAGGTATTCTTCGAGAAAATTTACTAACGACAAGGTTATAACCACAGCTTGCAACTTTTGAAGACAAATTGCCTGTTCTTTCCAGGTTATGAGTGGAAACATTTTATTTTTAGGCAATAAAATATTTGAAATCCCGCCATTTTTTCAAACACGGCCAGGGGATCTGGGCGAAAACGTTCGCGCATGCTCATTACGTTTTTCCGCCCTGAAGGCGAGACCGGGGCAACACTATTATCATGGCCGAGCGACAAGTTCTACAAACTAAGACTGTGCGATTTTTGAGGGCCACTAGTTCTTCAGTTGAAGTACTGTCCCGTGTTACCCTCGTTAAATAAAGTTGATTATTATTATTATTCTAATTCCCTCCAAGCGCCCTTTAGTGGGACAGTTCATGCTGTTATATATGAAGTAGATAATTCTAAAAACCGGTCTGAGCCGCTCCGGGGAATAACACGTGCGTAACGTCTGTACCAGAATAGATTAGTCCGTCTAGTGGTGATTAAAGTGTTGTGTTCTCAGTTCTACTTGTGTCAAATCCTACTGCAGCCTCTCTGCAAGCGACGCGCTTAAAAGGGTCTACTGGAAGCCTAAATAGCGCCCAAGGGCTGAAAACCGAGCTATTTGTACTAAAAGTCGTTTAATAATCTTTTAAAGTTCTTGTCGTACTGTTTGTTGAATGGCAGTTTTCGTGATTTTAGTGCTAGATCAAAGTGCGCGATATTCGTAAGTTGTTTGCCTCTAAAAGACGGGTAAAGTAAACTACCCTGCACTTTGTTGAAGATGTATGGAATGCCTTAGATATTGCTTCAACCCTATTCATACCTGGCTTTATTATTTTGCTCCTAGCGACCAGGGGGGGGGGGGGGTTCAATTTCCTGTAGCTCCTTTCTTAAAGTTATTGACAGTTATGTCTCCATATGTCTCCAGTTACTTTTTGGGTATATTAAATGTTTAGTTTGTAGATCACACATACGTCTATTCACCTTCTCTGCATTTGAACTATTTCACCATCAAGGTGTCAGTTTTATCACAGTAATGTTCTGACTATTGTAAAATCTCAGTGAGGAATAATGACTAAGGACTGAAGTAAAACGAACCCACACTAGCCAAAAATAAAACAATAAAAAATGACTTTGTTTTGTTATATAAAGTGCTTAAATAATGGGCACCCCTAAAAAAAATAAAAATCGGGCCATTACGTTTTACCAGAAAAAGCTTTAGATCATTCCAGGTAGAGACAGATGTAGGGAAACCTTTTCGCAGCAGTTGAGTCCCGAAGTCAAAGAATAGCTAGATTAATGCATGGTTAATTTCTAGCCTGTGTACAATGCATAGTTCGAGTTTGCAACATTTTACCCTCTAAGGCGTAAATAATCTTTACTAGCCTACCTTTTTTTACTGTGCGCTGAATTCTCTCAGTTGTTTGTGATAACGCTCTTCGATGTAATAACAAATGCCAAACTGAAATTGAGCTTAACGCGCTAAGTGGTAGCAGGAGGTTCGCAACCTTAGAATGCGACTTCTCGAAAAGGAACACTAAAAAGAAAGTCGTCCAATCATGACGGTTTTGGAAAAAAGGGGATTTTGATTCATGACTTTCCGCTAAGTATCCCGCCTCTGTAGCCGCATTGTAAAGTTGAAACCTGGAATGAAGTTTTTTGCATTGAAAAGTGGTCTGTGATGAATGGCTCAAATATCAAGCACAATAAAGGTAGTCCGAGATGCATGTTTAAAAATTGTTTTAGCAAAAAGGTCCACGTAATATTATACAGTTTAATTGCGGCAAAATGGTTAATAACTGGTTGGTCCACTAAAACAATTTATAGTCTGGGAGCTCTGTTTAGAAGTGTTTCGAACCTCGCTGGTGTCGGGTTCGAAATTGAAGGATAATCTAAGTCGAATGCATTGACCTTGATCTTCTTGTTAATGATATATCAAATAAATCATATATGAACTGCGGAAATGAAATCAAAATGAAGAAATGATCGTCGCAGTGAACGCAATTTATGCAATTGCGTAAAGAAGCCTGAAAAAAATTCAGCAATTGCCTAAATTGCGTTCACTGCGACGATCATTTCCGCAGTTCATATATGATTTATTTCATATATCATTAACACACATTTTTTTCACGGGAACATATGAACCCACAATTAAACTGCTCCCAACGTCAGTGGCTTCATAGCTCAGTTGGTAGAGCATCGCACCGGTATCGCGAGGTCACGGGTTCAAACTCCGTTGAAGTCCTGAATTTTTTTCAGGCTTCTTTACGCAATTGGATAAATTGTGTTTACTGCGACGATCATTTCTTCATTTTCACTTGATCTCCTTTTCACAAAAGTTTTCTTAGGCCCGGTTCAGACGGTCGAACTTTATATTTGCCGAACCTAATTCGTGGCGAAAAGAAATATCGTCCTTACTGCTTAAAATAGGGAAATAAACTCCAAAAAATAAAATTCACCCAGCCTGGAAATTCTTGTTTTGATTTTAGTGTGATTTGTGTTCTGTTATGGCAAGGAGAAAGCTGAGGAGATCGTCATCGTGATTTTGGACAAAATAAAGTAACGCCATAAATTTTATAGTACGTTACGATTTCTTTATAGATATAAAGAAAAGCAACTTTTTAGAAGACCGTTTTAAGCTGTCCGGTTTCAGTCTAAAAACCTACAACGTGAATGCTGGTAACCGTCGTTACGCTTCCGTGAGGTCTGTCCCCACAGGCGCGAAAACCCACTAAACAGCCAATCAGAAGCGCGGCTGTATTGAAAAATACGTACCTTAACATAATTTATGCATTAGATTCGGCACATGTGAAGTTCGACTTATGAATCGAAGTCGACCTTTAGCCGTTCTATTCGACAAGCTCAGTCGAATAGAACGGCAGAGTCGACCCAAATACAAAAGTGCCGTTCCTAACCTGATTCATACACTGGGCAAAATAACTTATTGCCTACTTTAAAATTTCTTTTTGCTAATTATTGGTCTTTACGTCAACAGCTCAATTCCTTCGTTACTTCAGAACGGTAAAGGAGAAATGTCAAAGAATAAAAAAAGGAAAAAATGAAGAGCACAAGCAGAGGTGCAAAATGAGTAGACGTCTCACAAGTGTAAGTATAAGGAAGTTTTTTTTTCAAACATCTGAACATGGTCAAATATAAAAACAGTTTTCCATGTCGTCATGAAAAACAATGTATAATATGTTTATAATTTCATAATGATATTTATTGTCAGTGATACGTACATTGTTTTTTTTTTCTGATCTTAACTGCAGTATATGGGTGAGACCACTTTTATCCTTAGTTATTTTATTTTTACTTTCTTGAACAAATTCCATTATTACAAACATGAATTCAGGGTTCTCATTAATTTTTCAAGTAGACAGCTAGGATGTTAAAGTAGGCGGCTTGGAAACTGAGTACTGTAGGCAATTTCAGGCTTTTACTCTCTAACTTTACTCTATTTCCCCAAAAAGTAGATGGCTCAAACCTCCAAGCAGTCGGTTTCTAGCCGGCTGCCGGCACTTAATGAGAACCCTGTGAATTGATAGATTATATTTATTATTGAAGGACTGCAACAGCATTATTTAGTTTGATTTTTGTGCTTCTTTATGTTTTTATTAGAAGCTGGACAAGTGATGAGGGGCTTTTGAGCTTATAAGAGAATCCTTATCCTCGCGCCAGAAGCAGCTTGCCCCAGAGGTGCTCTATGTGGAGTACATGAGCAGTGAGGAGTCTGCCTATGAAGATGAGGAAGATCCCATCACTGGTGAAGTAACACAGAAACTAAAGGGTTATTTAACCAAGAAGCTCTCTTGGGAGAGAACAGCCCTGACAAACTTAAAAAGCAAGCTTGACAGAGCCCATTATAGAAGCCTCACCCCTCATGCCAAAGCATTGGCAAAGCCCAAGTTTGAGGGTGATATATCAAAGAGGCCAGCACCCGATGGTCCATCATGGGCCGTGAGACAGGCCATTGCTTAATAATAGGCTTTCTTATCTCAACTCAAATTTTGCATAAACCAGCATTGAGTAACCTGGTCCTTCGTAAAATATGGCTATTTATTTAAAATTTAAGTCAGTGAGTGGAACCTTGTTTATACAGACTCAGCAAGACTGGCGGCAATAAATATTTAAATGGAAAAAAAGGAGTGTGGATGATAAAAAAATTTATATCTACGAGGTTGACTTTCAAAAATGCCATCTACTGTGGCTTTCTTAATAGGGTAGCTTATATGATGAACAACACATATAAGTACTAACTTTGATTTTCAAAGAGAAAGAGACTTCAAGAAAGAAAATCAGGCTTGAGTTTGAAATATTCATTTGAGAAATCTGGGATCAGAAGAATGGGATAACCCAAATTTTTTTTTGAGATATTAATCAAGGTTCAACTGATATTTGGTTAACTGTAGAAAACAAGCTGCAAGCTGTAGTCATTGATTACACTTAAACTTTTCCAAATTCTCAAGCTCTCAATAATAATTATTTAATACATATTGTGTAAATATTATATGTCAGATTTTTGCTGTTTACAAATTTTTAGTAGCATTATTGATAAATCTACACTTAGCTCTTTTGCACTCAATCCACAGTTCAGCTATTTCATAAGTTTTGTTTCCTTTGGCAAACATTAATAGCCCACCAAACAAACCTATGAGGCATTTGCTTTTTGTTGTTGGTGTTTCCTTAAATGGATTTAGATATCTTTTTAATATAACAAACAGGCATTTTTGTCTGGACTTTATTTTATAATTATAAAATCAACTCTCTGTAAGACAGACACCTTTGGGACGGGCATTACTAACTAGCTGTCTGTCGAATAAAGAGAGTAGAGAAGCAGGGACCAACTCTAGATGTCCGTCTTACCGAGGTGTTTGTCTTGTAAAGGTGTCCGGTACTACCAGAAGAAATGAACAGTTTTCAACCATAAGAAATGTATTGGAGACGGTAGTTTTACCAATTACAATTCTTTATGCTGTCGTTATTAGTGTTAAATATATTTAGATTGCTGTTTTAGTGTTTTCTTAAAATGATGTGCACTTTGTATTTTCAAAGGCCAATGAATTTCGTTTTAGTAATTTTTTAAAAAAGAATTATAACCACGTATATTAAATAAAATAAAGTGAGTTGAAAGCGGAAAAAAACTGTTTGTCTTCATTGTGTAGGGAAAGGGATTGACTTAAAAGGGATATATTAATTTCATTTTTCCAAAAGGATTTTGAAAACTACTTAACTTTTCGGGAGCAGTAACTCATAAAATAGTACCAGACAAAATGATCAGGGCCGTACCATTCTTGAGCCCTCTCGAACCAACCGATTAGTTTAAACTGTAGTTTCTGAAGTCCAATTAACAATTCAAGTGCTAGACCTTTGACTTTAAAAATCAAGTTTTGGGCAAATTTAAGATTGATTATTTTTAGCTAAAACCTTGAGTTTAGGCTTCGCGTAAGTATGGTTTTATAGTACGCTCCTGCTTAAACTAAAAGTTTCAAGCACATTTAAGCTTGATTTCAGTAATGCAACCAAAACAAGGCGTTTCACACAATTAATCAGCTGATTAAACCTACCTTAAACTTTAGCCTTAAAGCTGCTTTAAGCTGGGTTTACGTTATATTAAAATTTGGGTTTAAGGAACTTAAACGTCCACTTAAACTTATTAAACCCAAGTTTAAGACAAGATTAGTTCTTGTTTAAGAACACTTAAATTTTATTTTTCTTCTTGTGATACGTCCAACTTTACATGTGCCGAACCTAATTATTAGGCTCGGCACTTGTAAAGTTTGACTCTTGAACCAGGCCTTAATGCAGATGATACATGTATCCAGTTTATTCAGTGACACAATTTGTAATTTTGCTATGAAAGCAACACCTCTTAACCTGCCTGAGAGTTACCAAATACATAGAGGAGCTGAGGCAACAAGTGTTGTGACGTATTTTGCAGTGATGCAAGTAGTTCATTGGGAATTTCGTTGATTGTCTGTTTCTGCTCGAGGTTCCACACGTTCCATGAGTCTCATTATGGTTACGTTTGGTAGTTTAAGGTACGTACTTCCCACATTCGTGTTTGACACGATTTTTAGTGTTATTGCCTGTCTTTTTAATGTTTTTTTAATGCAAGATAATGCAAAAGTGCCGTTTACATGAGGCACTACCTAAAAGCCAATTTGAGAATATTATAGTCTTTTTCGCAATGGCCTATTTAAACTACCATTGAACAAGGATACAACCCACGCTATCAAATGTGTTTCTATGATAACGAAACAATAAACCACACGAATTTCGTTATATTAGACACAATTAAAAATAGCCTTATTTAGCGTCCAAGATACATTTACGAGTTCGTTTCTTTATGGCGTTCAGTGTTACCCGGTTAGGTACGCCGTCATGTGTTTATCAAGTGAACTCCTGGATCAAAAGATGCCTTTGTAAGTCAAATGGCTCTGATCTTGGGCCAAAGACCGTCTGAAAACAGCTGGCACTTTTTCTCTTGATATATGCAAATCCACGCTGAATCAGTTTGATGCAATGTATCACACATGATGACACCTTTTTGTAAACAAACGATAAGTGCGCAATCCCTTTGCCTAAAAATGAAAGTTAAAAAACGTTACGTCAATAGAGAAAAGAAAAATCTAATTGGGATCCACTTTCAAGCACTAATTTGTCCAGACGATTTACAAAATCGACCAGTCAAATTAGTATGTTGAAAGTGGATCACGATTAGATTTTCTTTTCTCCATTGACATAACGTTAAGTAACACTTTCTTGGCTTCAACAAACAAAATTTTGCCGAATGGAAGTTAAGACATCATACTGATATTTAAATTAGCAAGATTAGAAAATGTTAGAGTAATGGAAATCGTTCTAGATAAAAGAGTGGCATTTAATTTTTTGCGTGCTGGGGCATAAAATCCCTGTTTAATTTTATCTACCTTGGTTTTCGAAAACGTTTCCAGCAAATAGACCTCTTCTGTCAAGGGGTCTTTTTTTGGCCAAAAACTATCTGCAAAGTGGCCAATATAAAAACTAACAGTGCGAATATTACTTTTTCTCTCCTCTCCTTTCTTCCTCCTCGAACTTTTTATTTATCCTGCCTTTGTTAGGATTCCGCTATGCGAATCTTAAAGAGAAGCTAAGGTTTTAATTTTTAACTAGCCAGAAGGGGCAATGCTCATTGAGTCAATCAGAAAGTAGCAGTTGAATAATCATGAGACTTACCCAAAGCAACCAGCAGCACAGAACTGTTGAGGATGACAAACAGGATGTTCACGATCAAGGAGTCATTATCTTCGGTGACGTCAGAGGTGCTGTACATTGCTCCGAGACAAACGTCAAAGAAGATAACCCACAGAACAAAGGTTTGCAGAAGATCTTCAAATCTGCCTTTTATCGGGCGGAAGAATGTGTAGGCCACACCAAAGACACTCACGACCAGCAGAGTCAGACCAATCCGGGATACCCCCTCAGAACCAAAAAGGAAAATCAGTGAGATAAGTATCAGCTTTCTGTACATCTCTGTTACCTCCCAGAACCAAAATTTGTCCTTGCAGTTCTCAAAAAAGACTTTTAATCCAAAAGAAAGTTCCTCATTACGCTGCGATTGTCTGTTTTTGTAAATAAGTAGCAGTATCATCAAAGGAAATCCCACAGGGTATACGGAAAACATGACAGCAAATGGCCAATACGTCTTGTGTTGGGCAGTAAAGCATTGGATGGAGTAATCAGCCTTCATGAGAGAGATACACTGGCTTCCTTCATCTGAAAAGCAATGTTTGACGCATGCGCCCTGAAGAGGAAGAATTTAGATGATTGTTTTACTTGTCATGGGATATGATGCCAGCAGAAACAGGAAAATGTTCCGATAGCAGGACCTCTTCAACCTAGAAAGAGCACGTAGCTTTTCGCTCTCTGGACGATCCTTATTGCCTTTGATGTACAGCAATTGAAGGAACATGTAAACAAAGGCAAAAGAAACGACAAGAAAGGTAACAGAAAGAACCAAGATGAATTTTAAGAACGGGTTAAGTCGAAGTTGAGAATAGACGCAACTCCATGGTGCAAATTGAAAAATATTGCCATCAAACAATTTCAGAAACTTATCCATTGCAATCAGAGTAACTGGCCAATGAACTCTGGTCAGTGCCGAGAAAACACCGGAAATAACCTAGTAAAACCCGATGACAATTTTGAAGCAGGATGTGATGATATCTGCAACAGTACGATTATTGTCTGTCTTTTTGGAGTCTCCACACAGAACCATTGCAAACACCACAATAAAGACTCCAATAACCACCAACGAGGAAATTATGGAAACCAAGAATCCAGGACATTTCAAACAGAAATTAAATCGTAAGTAGTAGCCATGAGAACAGGTAGCACACAAGTTTCCTTGGTATCCTTCTTCACACTCTGAATCTATTCCTCCCTTGCAGGACCCAGCAAAAGGACATTTTACTGGTTTGGGTAGTGGAGCAGTAAATTTAGAGTACGTATCGTTGTACTCAGGGCCAAAACTATGGATGTTGTCAACAAACTTTTTGTAGAACTCTTTGCTACTTTGATTGGCCCATTTCCAGAAACAATTAGGTGCAAATATTGCTGTATCGTCGACACATTTGATGCCATGAGCTGGACATTCTGAACATGGACTAAAGCGATCCAAACGGTAAAATCCACGCAGGCATTTGCATGCACGGTAACCAGCATGTTTGTTTGAGAGCGTCACTGTTCAAAGATAAAGGAATCGTTTCTAGCTGGTAACTAGAGATAATACTTAAGGAAGTACATAGGATTTTTTTAACTGTCTTGTATATTTCACGGGATAATCCAGACGTTTCATAATGGTATCAGTGATCGCAAACTCAGTTGAAACTCTGTAGGCCTGAGACGAGAGAAAGCTAACCAGAAGCATATAACCCAGGGCTCAGTTGTTAGAAGGCCGATTAGCGCTTAACCCGAGGTTAAATTTAACCCGGCTTTCTTTTTCATGTGTTCAAAAGAATTTCCTCGGATAATTGTCTCTGTTATTTTTAGAGCTTCCAATCATCAACTTGTAGACAAAAAGAATTCTAACTGAACTGATTTTTAAGCTGTCAAATCTGAATTCAAATCTTGCACTAACCCTGGGTTATCTTAACCCAGCTTTCAACAACTCGGCCCTGAGGCGTAGAACAATGCTGGAGTGTTTTGGAGAACCAATTAAAATTTACTTCCTTTTATAGAATTACTGATACCCGAGACTGTTGTGCTATTGTGAAGAAAACTTTTTATCGCAATGAAAACGAAGCGTTAAGAGCAATCACAGTTTTAGCATGTAAAATACGGCCAAAACTGGTATCCAAAATGACCAGGATTGACTGATTCCGGACAAGCATCTTACAAAAAACTACTACTAGCTTAACTTGATGACGAGAGTTAGCGCGCGCTTTGAAGAGTATGCGTCAACATTTTTTTTTTACCTGATAGTTTTCAAAGTTGCTATCTTAATATTACTAATCTGATTCCATATTGGGCAAACTAAATGTCTGTGCTTCTGATTGGACGGCTAAAAACATTAACATGACTCAAAACAAATAAGGGGAAATGGGAGGTCCCCTCCGTACAAATTCCCATAATCCACGAAATGTAGACACTGAAGTTGCTAACCGCAAGAGATTGTCCCTTCGCTAGTGAGTCTTTGACGTCTGTTTTGCCTCACCACTTTCACTTGCGCTGTTAACGTTTTTTTTCACAGTTTTAGACTTCAGTTTTGGAATTTACAGCAATGTTAACGTTTCTCAGTACTAATTTCTCATTTAAGGAGGGTCAAAAAAATATGTTAACTGGCTTCTATTATGGCAAAATTAAGTGGTTGAGGGTTAAACGGCGATGACGCGTTATTAATGCGCCATTAATTATTTCTCTTTCTACAATTGGCGAAAAAATTGTTGAGAACTCAAATAGAGTAACTTCAGAGAACACAAGAATCCGCACCCCTCCCCTGTCCCCTCCGTTCAAAGTTGGGCTGTTTGTTATTTTCTGTAGGTAGCTCGAGCATTGGCACAACATTGCATGGGGAGGAAAGGCTATATTTCCTCCTTTTGAAGTCAGTAAAACGTAAAAAAGCCCAGTTTAGGGCGAAGTGTCTCAACTCATTTTGTCCCCGATTGTAGCTTCAAGAAGTGTCTTTTCTTTGTAGATAGTTTCTTTGTAGTTGTCTCTGTTTTCAGTCTATATCAATGATATTAGTGCTGCCACAAAGGACCCAGAATCAAAAAGCCTACTGGAAGCCAAATTATGAGGATTTGTATGGGAATTTATCGTAAGATCGATAAAACGGTTAAAATGTACATAAACCGGTATTAAAGTATACATACCTCATAAAGAGTTGTCTGTGTTGTTTTCTTACTGCTTCCTGCCCTATAAACGCCGTTTTAGCAAGTTTTAATGTTTTGGTTTCTCAAGGACTGAGAAGTAGACATGGGAAAACTCGGATCTACTACGCTGCTCAAAATTTCCTTCATTCCACTCCAATCGCTCCCAAACTTCGCTTGAACATGGACTGAAGATTTTTCTTCCTTGAAAACGTCAATTTAGTTCCAAACATCGAGCTATGTCCTCAAGAGGACGAGAAATGTCACTAAAAGACTTGAACTTCCCTCTTCTATGAATCCGCTCTTCTTCGCGGTGAGCTACCGATGGCGTTGCTCTTGGCTTAGTAGCCATGCTGCACGTTCAAAATCCCCTCGATGGGGAGCGGTGTTTTTCCCGCCACTTCTTTGTAAAATGAGCGAAAGCGCTCCCTGGGCACCCTTGCGAATCTGGTTTTGTATTGGTTGATTTTCCCCCTGGCCATCCCTGCCAAGGGAATTTTGAATGAACGGCGTAGTTACTTAGCCAATGAGTAGTTCACCACGGAGAAGAGGGGATCCACCGGAGCGGTAAGTTCAAATCCTTTAGCGACTTTTGTCGTCCTCTTGGGGCCATGGCTCGATGTCTGGAACTAAATTGACTTTGTCAAGGAAGGAAAACCCTCGGTCCATGCTGAAGAGAAGTTTGGAAGCGACTGGAGTGCAATGAAGGTAATTTTTGTAGCTTTTTTTTCGGCTGCGTAGCACAGCCGAGTTTTCCCTTGTCTTGTTCTAAGTGGTTGAGAAACTTGCTAAAACGGCGTTTATAGGGCAGGACACAGTAAGGAAACAACTCTTCATGAGGCACGTATACTTTAATAGCTGTTTATGTGCATTTTAACCGTTTTATCGAGTTTAAATTCCCATACAAATCCTTATAATTTGGCTTCCAGTAGGCTTTTGTGATTCTGGGGCCCTGTGGTGCTGCATCCAGTAAACTATCATGATTATTCACACTTTTTACAGATGATACCAACTTTATCAATAAAAATACAAACCAACAACAATTTATCGAAACAACTAATAAGGAATTAAGAAAACTATCTTTATGGTTCGAGGCAAATCGGTTGTCGTTAAGAAATAATTATAATTAAAACTAACTACATAATTTTCTTTTTTTAATTTTTTTTTACTAAAAAATTAATGAATGAGCTTGGGATAATTGCAGAATCAGGATTTATAAAGCACAAATGCGAAATACATGTTCTCCTATCCTCTAGAGTTTTCATGATCATGATCCCAAGTAATTCCTGATACAGGGTATTTTTATCCTAACCTAGAATAGATCTCAAAATGTAAAAGTTAGCATTCTCAAGAAGACTTGCATGCACCTTACCCGCCCCCCAGTAAACTGCAATACAGTAAAAACCCGCGAGTAAAACCTGCATTTTCCCAAGTCAATCTAAACAGGTTCTTACGGAAGTGGTAATACTAAGCACAAATTTAGGCTAATTAGGTCCTTAAATAAGTTCATATTTTCTGAAGAAAGAAAGCACATTTTAGCTATAATTCTGGCTCGTAAAATTTATACATTTGATATTTTTTTAGTTTGCCTCAATAACAATTTTATTATATTTTCCACAATGGCATTTATATTGCAGTTGGAGTGTCTCCAAAGAGGATACTGATTAAAGATTTTCGAAAAAAAGAACCTGTTTCAAATTTTAAGATTTACAGGTTCTTGTATAGAGGAAGTGAAAATGGTAAATTTTTGCCGTTTAAACTAGGTCCTTCCGCGTAGGTTTTTACCGTATTCTAATTGTAGCAAAACAAAGGAATTAGTGGGGCGTGTCTTTTCTAGCGTGAACTCAGTGGCTTTCTTGCTTTAGGTTGGTTTTCTAGTTATTGTCGAAGGCTACATGACATTATTTTTTTTTTGGCAAAAAAGGAATCAGAGAGATAAAATTGTCTGCCTCTTCAGTTAGGAAAGATAAGTTTTGAATGACAGATTTCTTCCATGTTGGGAAAAGGAAATTAAGGTGAAAATTGAGGTACTAAGCTCTATGGACTATAGTTTAACGAGGAAGGTAGTCACGCTGGTAGTAAAATGATGTAAGTTTATGAACAAATGAATACTATGATGGTTCCTACCATACGGACATGCCCAGCAGTCAGTTGCACGGGTACCTGGATGTCGTTCTTTGGAGACGTGAGTCCCTTGCATTGCTTGCAGATAATCTGTCCCATTTGATCTTGATAGAAACCTCCTGTGATAAAAACATGGCAATTTGTAAAACTATGTTGTGTTAGATAAAAAATTTATACACTTGCCCTACTTGAAACCGGCAATAAAAAAATCATACTAGAAATTCACAAATCTATTTCTATCATATTAACTGATAACAAACTTTGATGTAATAGCACAGACGCTCCTTTATTTTTTTGTTACTCTGAATTTTTTTTAAACATAAGGTGCGGTTACGCACACCACATAGTAAAAAGTCTTTCCCGTGATTTACCAAGGTTACTTACGGTTATACGTAAATTTATTTACGACGGGTTATTTCCTTTTTCACGAAATTATTTTCCCGGGAAACACTTGAAGGACTTTCAAAGCGAGCGGGATTTTCGGTTGCAAAAAAAAGAATCATGACCCGGATGGTCCAGGTTGAATTTGTGCAATTTCAGAATCAAGCGAACAAGCGAGTGAATCCAAATTAGAATTTGCCTGGCAAAAAAAAAAAAAATACAAACGTTTGCTCAAATTATCTGGTGTGTAAACAAACGATTTCAAATGCTTCTCTGAAGATAATTCTGAAATAGTAACTTATCGAATAGTGCGAAATCCAGCCATCACAACAGATCATAACGTGTTATTTTTCTGGTGTTGTGGGAAAGAAAGGCGCTAAGTAGGCCTTGATGATAACCGAAATTCTTTGTCAACTGGAGCTTCGTGATTGGCTGTCTTACCGTGGGCAGCAAAACACCCTTGCTGCATGTAATTACCACGTTGTCATGGGCGCTTTCTTTGTTTTTTTTTTCCGTATCCATGTTTATGTAACACGGGAAGTTTACCTCGGGAAATCCGGTCAGACACACTAACACAATTTCCCGCGGTAAAAGGGTCATTTACCACGGTAAAAGTGTCCCGGGTTGCCACACCTCTAATTTGTTACTACAGTCATTGTCTTATGCAAAAATAGATTATGCTGTGCTTTCTGTTTCCGTCCATCTGAATTCCTTACTTGCTTTGCAAGGTACTTACCAAGTACTATGTGATTAAAGGGTTATGTCTTTCAGAAGAATAATAGAATAGAATTTGTCCAGTAAGGATAAAACAAATTTGATTTTTTTGGCCTCAGACTTAATTGCGAAAACAGCGAAAACTTTCCGTAGCAGTAGCAATTGCCCACGAACTCTAAACAACAGCTGCAGTTAATTGTGTTTATCATTACTCTATCCAGAACCCTCTACCGAAGAACTATGATCATAATCTACCAACTACGTTAAAGCTCTCTCTTCACGAGAAAGGCCAAATGTTGTTATGGTGTTAATCTTTTGAATTCTGGCAAAACTTTTAAATAAAAACTATATTCAAATTACACCGTTGAAATTACCTGCAGGACACGCTTGACAAGAACCATACACGTATATGTTTGTGGAAATATCGCTGACATGGTAACCAACCGGGCAAAGACTGCAGTTGTAACATCTCCATAACATTGTCAGTCTACATTTGTGGTATACAAAGCCTGAGCGCTTAAGGCCCCCAGCGTTAAAGACTTCCTCATGAAAACGCAGGAGGTGAAAAGTAGTCGAAGGAGCACATTCACTAAAGCATGCACAAAAGATCGCAACATTAGTTAGTCCAGTTACAACAGGAAAATGAAAAATGGGATCTTGGACTAGGGTTCAAGTTAGGTTTTGCTCCCATTTTCATATTCCCGTTCCCCGTTCCTCGTTTTGGTAACATCCGCTCTACTAGCCTGAGAAAACAGCCGACATTTGGCGATGCTACCACTGGTTTTCCCGCCAAATGACGTCTGAGAAACGAGCGCAGAAATTTCATACTGATGACGCGTCACTACCCAGATCTGGGTAGTGCTTCTGATTGGTTAAACTAAATTTTCCACGAGGAACGACCAATCAGAAGCACTACCCGATGTGGGTAGTGACGCGTCACCAGTATAGAATTTCTGGGCTCGTTTCTCAGACTTCATTTGGCGGGAAAACCAGTGGTAGCGTCGTCAAATGTCGGCTGTTTTCTCAGGCTACCGCTTTACCGACACCCGCTTATACGGCAGACACCTTGTTATTACGCACAGTTTTGTTTATCTCTCGGGAAAGCCCTCATGTTTTTTCTAAACTCAACCCGCTTGATACGGACACCCGTTAATGCCGACACTTTCTATGGCGCCATAGGTGTCGGTATTAACGGAATTTGACTGTAGCAGAATTTTATTGATGTGTACCCACTTACATAACTGAACTATAACTATTTCCGGCAGGAAGCTGATATAAGTTTCCACAAGTTATCGACCTGTAAGAAATAACATAATTTAATTTCAAATTGGTCTTTGAAAGTTGTTGTTGTGTCTGTGTTATGGTTGTTGTTGTGTCTGCGACATGGATGCCCGTCTCGAAACAAAAAAAACCATGTCGCTACTTTACAAGTCGCGAGTGTTGTAAGTTAATGATTCCAATGAAAAAGGGAAAAAAGGCTGATGACATGTAGCTGCGTATTGTAAAGATCGCGGGAGACAAACAACCACGGCGCCAATAAAGCAATCTCTTTGTATTTGTTCTAGTGCGATAAGGCTCTGTAAGTTAAGTGAAATCAGTATTTAAAAGAATGGATGTTTATGAAGAAGCAAACATATTGTTTCGCTCATTTGAAACATCCAACGTATGCACCAAAGGTGTGGGCGAGTTTCCTTATGTGGGTGCTCAAAGAAACCAACGGCATAGATAACTCAAAGAGAAAGTAAAAAATCTGTAATGTGTCGCACAATAAAGTCAATCAAGGCTAAAACAAATGCGACCAATTACGTTGGAAGAAAAACATGAAAATTTTGAAGCGGTGGTGAGAAACTGAAAAATACTGGCGGCCATCGAGCTGAAAATGACCTGAGGTGACAACGAAAGTGAACAGGAACACGTACGACATTTCCTCTATAAAACTAGGAAGTTTTTGGACGTTTCACGTTGTAGTCCTTTAAAACAACGGCAAAGAAATGTACGAAAAAAGTGTGCTGCAAGTGCAAAGGTTTTTTTTGCTAATTAGATTTACTGATTTTTTGACCGTTTTCGTTGCTGTCGCCGCTTAGCATTACACGATTTTATGTTTGGTCGAGTAAAGTATAAATATTAACGAGAGCTTCGCTTTAAGACCTGGTTAAGTCTATATATGAGATGTTGAGTAAGTGTTCATTCATGAATTCACCTGTCAAAATTTTGACTAAGCGTGTTGAGGGGAGACTAGGTAGTTCCTGGATTGTGACCAAAAGCGTGACCAAGCAATAAGCAAAGCTTAAGAAATTTATTTTCGAAAGTTTTGTCGTAAGTGGAACACAAGAAACTTCAATCTAGATTTTTAATCGCGCGACTCAGTTGGTTGCCCCTAAAATGGTCAATTTTTCGCCAAAACGAAACGCTACGTACATGGCTGGGACTTCCTTCCCTAGCATACTGAGTTTTTTACCCCTACTCCCAGATTTCGTTCGGACGGGAGGTCGGGCGTACGCTGACGTCACCGGGTTTCCACAGTTTTTTAAAGTAGCGGACATATTTCTGAAAGCACCAGACGCGAAATTTTTTGGCGCCGCAGAAGCTACCTAGCGGGTGTGGGGGTATGCTCCCCCAGGAAATGTTTGTAATAGAACGCTCAGGAAAGCTGTTTCCAGCCTTTCTGGAACCCAAGAATCAGTTTCCCAGGCAAGGCTGGAGTTCACTGGAGTTTACTCAAATGAAATTGGACAGTTGGTAGGAGAATGGCAACAACATAATTTTCAGTTGTTTATCTTTGCGAGTTTATTTTTTATTTATTTTCAAAAAAGTCACAAGATAACTGAGGTTATAATATTTTTCACTCCAATTTCGTTTAAATGAAAAGGGAAAACAGCAAAGAAATTTAATTGCTTATTCTGTTATTCTCTAGTCAGCAAGTTCATGGTTTGCTAAAGTAAAAAAATGATAATATAGTACCGGACATAGAATGGCAAACGACCGGACGAAACTGCCTGCCTCCTGCCTCAAACGAACGTCATAACCAAATCTTCTGGCGCGATAGCCAGGTTTCCATTCTCAATAAGTACGGGGCTCCGCTGTGCACACGCGCTCCGCTATGAATTTTAAGTTCTTGTGGCACGAACAAACCACTTGCCAACGTGTAAATACCCTTAATTAGCACTTACACTGTAGTTCTGGATTTAATTTCCTTAAAAGCACCATCAGGTATGTATGATAGTGGATTATCAAAAAGAGTCCTGAAAGATAATGAAGATTCATAAAGACAGCATTTAACTTAAATACAATACTTCATCTTCATCAAAAGTAACCATTGACAAGCATAAGACGTCCATATTCTAATGCTATGCAGTTAGTGTGGATAAAAGAACGGGCAATTCTACGGTGAGGGAGAGAAATCAAGCAAGGGTGACGTACGAGAGACTATCATTTATAAAAAATTTAGACAGCGTCTATGAAATTAATCGTCTAAATCGTTTTTAAACCATGAATACCAATTATTTCAACTTTGTTCTTCCATAACCGTGTTTAGATCGCTTAAGAAACAATTGTAAGTTTGACCTGACCACACGTTCGTTTTAATTTGAAATCCATCTACATGGGGCGATTTGTTGAGGACATTAGCAATTCATCTCTCACAGATGCTAAGTACGCTGAGAACCGTACTGATCTTACATCCCTGTATGATGAACCTCTTGTCAATGCTTTATCAGCATGCACCTCTTAAAATACGTATTGTCACCCTTAGACCAGCTGCGCCATGGCACACAGATAAGATTAAGGCTCTTGGCGCAAGATAAGATCCACCTTCAGCAGAAAACTTTACGTTAACCAAAGCAACCTGGTCTATAACCTTATTTATGAGTCCAAGATGACCTTCTGCTCCTCGTTCATTTAAGAAAACAAGTCAAATCAAGCGATCTTGTTTACTGCTGTTGACAAAATGTTAAACCGCCTGGCACCTAAAAAATTACCTCAGGACGGCAATGCTGCTGATCTCGCAAATAAATTTGCGGAATTCTTTGTGCACAAAGTAGAAACTATCAGAAACGGCCTTAACTCACTAGGCTTTTACCCTAACGATGAAAAGTTGTCTGCCCAGCTACAAATGAGCTACATTCTTTTACTCTAACGTCACTGAATGAGCTATAAACTCTTCTTGGTAATACCTGTGCTAAATCATGCATATTAGATCCAATACCAGGTAATATCATGAAAGCCTGTATTAATACCCTTCTCCCTACCATCGTTAGGATAGTGAATTTGTCATTTACTGAGACGTGCGTTCGTGAAATCCTTAAACTGTCAGCCGTCGAGCCAAGAATCAAGAATCCTATGCTTGATAATGAGCTGCGGTCGAGCTATAGACCTATCTCTAGCCTAAGATTCATCTCTAAGGCTATTGAGAAGGTTGCTGCTGATCGACTGAATTGCCATCTCACAGAGAACGATTTGCATGTTCCCTTACTGTCAGCTTACAAACCCAGCCATGGCACTGAAACTGCACTGCTAAAAGTTCAAGACGTCATCGTCCGTAGCCTCGATAAAAATAACTGTGTCATTCTTTTACTACTCGATATGTCAGCTGCATTTGATACAGTCGAATACAAGACTTAGTCACCATTTTGGAATCAAAGGAAAAGCACTGGCATGGTTTTCGTCCTATCTGGAGAACAGAAGTCCGTTTGCACGTGTTGAGAGTGGGTCCTCGACCTGTTCACTATGGGGTTCCCCTAGGATCCGCACTTGGTCCTCTCCTTTATTTACTATACACTGCACCTCTGAGTGATGTCCTCAAACGTCATGATATGTCGTGTCATTTGTATGCGGATGACAACCAGATATACATGTCCTTTCAGCCTTCACGTCCTTGTGAGCCTGAATACTCCAAATCTAAGGTGGAAACGTGTATCCTTGATGTCAATAGTTGGATGATAGCCCCAATATGCGTAAACTAAATAATGAAAAAACTGAGCTGTTGTTACTGAACGCTCGACACCGCCCTCTTTCGCAATTAACCTCCACTCATGCAGGCACTGAATTAATCGTAGCTGCTGACTCGGCAAAAACAATCGGCATTTGGTTTGATAACAACCTGTCAATGAAAAAGCATGTGAAATTTCTTTGTAAAACAGCTTTCTACCATCTACGTAATCTGGTCATCGTTAGAAGGGTATAATCTTGAATCCTATGCAAAGCGCGCTTTTCAGTCATTGCCCCCTCACTCTGGAATAATTTACCAGACCAAATAAGAACTACAGCATGAGTTCATTTAAGAATACAGTTATGACCTTTTTATTCAGCCGTTCGCTTTACATTTTATCTTAGCGTTTTATTATGTAGTTTTAGATATTTTAGTAACTTGCTTTTTCTCACCTATTTTTTTAGTACGGTAACCTTGTTAAGCGTCATTGGTCATCTAGTAGAAGTGGCGCTATATAAACAACTAATTATTATCATTATTATTATTAT